TACATTTTGACAATAAACCTGATTTGCAATGGGGGTTGAATAATTTTGATTGCAACTCTTGGTGGCCTTCAGTACCATCAATCATGGTATCTTTCTGGACTGCCTTTAAGAACTAGCAGTTGTGGGCACCTTCAGTGGTGGCTCCATTCTTACCTAAGTTAGTAGTTCTAGTTAATGGTCACAGGGGGGCAGTGTTTGAGCCCTTGGGCACCATGTTATTTAACATCTACATTAAACTTTTGAGGGAGGTCAACCTCATCAGTTGAAGATGAGATGTCATCAATAAGACGATGACAACCCAGCTGTTACCCTGGGCCAATGTGGAGATGCCATGACCGTGCTAAGGGTCTAGATGGAGGGGAAAAAACTCAGACTCAATCCTACCAAGATGGAATTGCTATTCATATGTAAACATCAATAAACATCAAAGTAGTTAGTCTGGGCAGGATTGTACTTCTCCTGAAAGAATTGTTTTATGACTCAGGGTTCCTTCTAGATTCATGACTGGGCCTTTGGCCATCTTTGGCTGGGGCATCAGTTAAAATCCTATCTTGACCAGAATTACCTGAAAATATCAATTAAATGCCAGTGTTAAACTGTTGTGTATGTTTGGATTTTATTGTTCACTGCCCAGAGTCTATATGGATTGGGGTGAGTAATAAACATTGTTAATAAATAAAATAATAGTAGCATGAGTTAGTTTGGAAAAGTTTTGTGGTTACACAGAAATCTAAAAAAAACAACATAAATACATATTCTTAGTATTTGTATACTCCTAAAGTACAAATTCCTATCTTAAATGAAGCTTATCTTCATGTACATTTTTAGAAATAGTGCTTTATTATTACTGTATATACACGCAGATAAGCCGAGAATTTTAAGTGCTAAAAGGCACCCAAAAAACTGCATTCAGCTTATCCGCGGATGGGCTTATCTGCGAGTATATATGGAAATACTTTTAAAAAGTAACCATATATCCTGTAATATACTTGTGGATAAGCCCATCTGTGGATAAGTAGATCCTTGAATTTTTAATCAAAAATACTATGAAAAATGTGGGTTGGCTTATTGGTGGGTGGTGCATTTTTCATGGTATTTTGGTTAAAAATTCAAGGGTCAGCTTATCTGCAGATGGGGTTATACACAAATATATATGGTATTATTGTGATAACAACTTTAAAAAACTCAAAAAGAAGCCCTGATCATGAAGGTAAAAACAGACTACAACTGAATAAGCATATGAGTATCAGCAAAAACTTTCCTTCCTAGTAGTTATTTTTATCTATCTTTGCCTGCTTTTGGTTTCTATTTCTTACAGGTTCCTCTCTCAGTGCAATAATCTTTTCTACCTCATTAATGCAGCATACTTTCATTGCCCTTCTTGCCAAGCCCTGTTGTGTCTCGGAACAAGATCTGCAGCTGGTACTGTCCTCACAGATTTAATGTAGACCAGATTAAGGATTCCCAGATAGCTGATCGATTGGGGGAAGGAGGCTGCCTGATAAAGCAGGAGAGAATGTTTTGCACCTACCCTGCAGATCAAGTGCAGCATCTGACCCACAGGGTAGGACAGCTCAGAAGTGCATTCCCCTCCCATGGATCAGATACTGCAGTTCACCCACAGGGCAGTGAATACTGTCCAATAAAGCAGGAGAGGAGAGGCTTTCCTGCTTTAATGGGAAATATCCACCCATTCTGTGATCACCCTGAAGACTACAAAATCTGTGTTTAAAAATAGCTCTCCCTATTTTTTCTATGTGACAGGCAGGGGGGCATATGTTAAAGTGGAATCTGCTGCTTCTCCACACTATTCCTCCAACCTGATAGGTATCTGATAGCTTGGGAGATCTCAGATAGGTCATGCATTGAAGTGGAATTTGTTCTTTGGACTAGTTGTTAAGTGCTGTCGGTCATGAGCCATCTTTGCCACTCTGAGATTGCAGACCTGGTGGAGAAAGGGTCTTCCATCACCATTTCTCTTGTGATCCCTGTAAGCCCTAACAGCCTGGCTCTATCATGGGTGGCAGGAGAAGTGGGGAGGGATTGCTCTTGGCTTTAGAGAGAGCATTCAGTTTGAAAGAACCAGACTCTCCCACTGCCAGAAGTAGAATGCCTCTGAAAAATAATACTCAGGTAGCAGAGGGAATGGGGTGCATCTACATTAACCAAAGTGACCAACAGGAGCTTAGCAGATCCTAGCCCTGACCATCATTACCAGCATTGTTGAAGAGGCGTTCTAGATTGTAGAGCAAGACTTGTGTCCAAGGAAGAGGGAAAACACTACTTTTAAATTAGAATAGCTAATGTAAGCTGCCCCTGCAGTGGGTTGAAAGTGAGATGAAGGCAACATCATGAGGTTACATTCTCTGAAAAAGTTAGCTGGGCATATTGATGCCATAGTTAGTAGGATCTGATATGATCTTTACTTAGGAGTTTATGGTGATAATTTACAATTATGGAAACTGGTATTGATGGGAGGACTTGTCTGTTGGCTTCTGAGGTCACAAAAATACATAGAATGTCTTTCTATCATTCTTCCTGTTCCAAAAGTTAATTGTTACTCTGAGAATTTGGGGGTCCTCAGATGGAAATACCAGATACTTCTCCCAATCTGGAAAACAGTTCAGGGGAAGAAGATGAATTCAAAAATAGGTATTTAAAAATATAAATTTCCAAACTTAGCACCTATTTTTTTTATCCATGTAGTTTTCTCACACTAAAATCTATAAAAAGATATAGAGATAGACAATACATACTGGTTTTTTGTACTGCAGTGTGCAGCTGTCAGTACTGTGTGGTTATTAATTAAAGATCCACCACATAAATGGAGAAATCCTGCACCACGCTGATATATTTGAAGGCTAACTTGCCACGGCCATGCCCCCTGGACAGATTCACGTCCACCTACAATCCGACTCCCTAATTGTAGCAGTTCTATAGCAGGTCTTGTTCCACATTCTAGAAATCAAATCACAGTTGTTAGATACAATGTGAGGTTATAAATGCAAACTTCAGGGTTTCTCTGAGCAGGCAGATTTCTTAGTTGCCATTTTTTCTCACAAGTTTCATAAAAACATACATACACCTACAGGTACAAGAACACATAGTCAAAGAGAAATGTTTCAGTAAATAATAGTTTTAGTCTATTTCTTCAAATCATTGTATATAATTTCTTGATTTGTTGCTTTCTGATGCATCACAATATATCAAATGTGTATGAACCATTTGTTTCTATGTTCTTTATAAAGACTTGACCCTCCCTTAATAAAATGCCTCTTGCTTTGCCTGAAGTACTTGTGATTCATATTGTCGGGGGAGGGGTGGCAAAAAAGCCACTCTGCAAAGGTATTGGGAGTTTCTCTCAAATTCAGGGACTAAGTTTTTCTAGCTCCACACCAACTCAGGTGCCTGAGTTTTATGGGTGACAACATGATAACGGAAAAATGACAGCACACATTCATTTTATAATTTTGTTGTATCATTTTATAATACTGTTGTAACTTTGAACGGTTGCTGAACGAGTGAGGATTACCTGTAAACTAAGTTTAGACCCCAGACTTTTAGAAAAACAGTGGACTTTATAATTTAGTACTTGGGAATAATTACTAAATATTTTGTTTTAGAAAATTAAAACTTAAAATAAAAAGTATAAAGTATTTGCCCATCCAATTTAAAATCAGAACAATGCTAGTGTAAGCAGCATGAACCCACCTGGGCCTGTTTAGCATCCTCAGCTTGGATATTGATGCAAAGTGTGTTTGTTTATTATCCCACCTTTCTGGATATAACTATCAGAAAGTGGCTTTCAAATAACAATCAGCAATCATAAAACACAACAAATAAATAAATCCTCCCTCCCTCCAGATCTTTCCTCCAGAGCAGTCAGTAGTAATGAGGCAAGGGGAAAGATTACATTTCTGTGGTGCTTTTCACTGATCATTTTCATTTTCTTGATCACTACCCATCAGCTGCTGAATCTCCTATGACATGGGTCCTTTAATTAGGCTCTGAAGTCCAAATCTAACCACACAACTGTTCTCTAGCTAAACACAGTTTCAGGGAAACAATAAGTGGGCACAAATCCAAACCCCACTTCCTTTGTAGAAAGCCCAGTAACTTAAATATAGACCTCTGTGAAAATCCAACCACATACCTCTGCCTGGATGTATCTGAAACTATTTCAGCACCTGGCTGACTCTTACTGGGCTTGAATATTAAGTAGGATTGGGCCTGGCTAGTATGGAGATGGGAACCTCCAAGGAATGCCAGGTCTATAAATTACACTATGAAGTAAAAAAAAAAAAAATCCTGAAAGAAGGCAGCTCCAAGCCACTTCCACACTGTTGCCAGGATAAGTGTGTGAAGTCACCAGAAGTTGAACTCCATTTAAAAATGTTACCTTTTTGTTTGTGAAGAACTCTAGAAGGACCATATGTACCATATGGATGTTCATGTCCATATATAGCCCAACCTTATTACACACACCCACACGGAATATTACACTCTGCATTAAAAGAAGGCAGATCTGCACTGCACTGGACGTGACTTACAATTTACCACTGAAATATTGCTCATTAGGGTAGACCTCCGAACACTCTCTCAGCCCAACTCACCTCACAGGGTTGTTGTTGCGGAGAAATAGGAGGAGCAAGGAATAATCGGTATGCTCACCACCTTGAGTTATTGATGAAAGCAATAAAGGCGGGATGACACGTGAGCAGGCAACTTTTAGGATAACTAGGTTTAGGATAACTTCCCCATTTACGCAATCTGCATCGCGCAGATAAGGTTTGCAACCCTGACGATCCTTCCCCGGGAACTCTCGTTCCGCGGTACAGCAGCCAGATATCTGGGCAGCTCCCTCCCGGGAGCGGTGCTAAAGCCGCTGTCCAGAAGAGCGCCACGCTAACCCCGCTCGCAACCTCGCTTCGGGGAGGCGTTTCAGCGGGCAGCTGCGCCTCGCGCACTTGCGCTCTCTCGACTAATCCGCTTCCAACGGAGACTCCCGGGAAGGGCAGGGTTTTTTTTTTTCTTTTTTTGGCGGGAAGGGGGAACTACCTAGTGCGCAGGCGGACTTTATCCCTCGACTTTGGCAGCGTCCGCGCGCTTAACGAAAGAGGAAACCGACGTTGGACCTCTTTCTGTAAAGCGCGGTCAGGTTTAGGACCCAACAGCACCGCGGGGGCGGGGCGAGGACCGGGCTCACCGTTTGTACCTGCGCCAGCGGACCGGTTTTCGGACGAGGTTTGACTCAGCAGCACAAGCAGCGTCAGAAAGAAGAAGGCTGCAGGGCGCAAAGGCATCATCCTCCCGGAAGCCAAAATGGCACCCGCTTCCCTCTTCCTCACGCTCACTTTTCGCTGGAATGCAGGTGACGTTGGGAAAACCGCGACTCCCTAGGAGCACGCGAAGGGCTTTGTGGATCGCGCGCAGATCTGGGCTACAAAAACCGGAACCCTCCGTGAGATGGCAGCAACGCACTGATTTTGTTTTGCTTTTGTAGTCCAGAAACTGTAGCCCCAGTTTAAAAAAAGAGAGAGAAGGTAGAAGACTTCTTAGGGTTGTGTTAGGACAAAGCTTTCCTCTTCCAAGCATCTTAATCTGGGCAGCCCGGTGCTGACACTGGAAGAAGGCCGTGGCAAACCACTTCCCAAAAATCTTGCCCGCAAAACTGCAGGGACTAATCCAGCAGTTGCCAGGAGTCAACACTGACCTGAAGGCACAAAAATATAAAAATGCTGACACCTTGACCTGCTGAAGAAGAAAAAGTATGGTCCACCTTCCCAACATAAAGCATCGCTGTATGGACCACATTTTGCTCCTTGTCAGGCCTTCTACCTTTCAATCAGAATCCTGCCACTTTGGCAAATACCAGGCCCACTTAACCACCTAATTTACTTGTAATTTCTGCATCCCCTTTTAATAGTAATAACAACAGAGAAGCAGCATTCTTCCAATTGTCAGGCACAAATGCACCCTTTGTACAGTATATACAAGTTGCACAGCCACTATGTAAACAAGCCATATTCTTATTTTAACCTACAGCCTTGTGATTTTTAATATTTTCACAGCCTATATTTTTTTTCTTAGATATATTTTTTTCTTCTTCAACATATTACCGGCATTACCATAGAGTCTTTAAAATACTCTGTCCACTGCTGCCTTACTTCAGTTTGATTCCAGATCATGTTGCACTGTTATTTTTAATTCAATTCATTCTGGTAGAGGCTCTCATTGCCCCATCCCGGAACAACTTTTTGTTTCCATCACAATTGCTCTGTATTTTCTTCACCTCTTGATTTTCACAATTCCTTCCTCTCTTTGACTATATTCTCTGCAACTATCTCTTTCTCTATTCATACATTATGCAACATATCTTGCTGATAATTTTTCACAACAATCATTAGCTTTTTATTTTTTTTCCCCTCATCCATACCCACTTTCACTTCATTATTCCACTAAGCCTCCTCACTCATACTTTCACTTAGCATAACTCTGTGGCTCTCGGTAACATATTTTTTTTACTCTGTTACAAGCAGCTTCCACATCCTCTTTCCTTATGTTTGCCTTGCTGGGAGATTAAATCTGTTTGCTAACGCTTTTTCATAAAGGACTAGTACTTTTTTCTTTCTGGATTATAATATGCAACTAACCCCAACCTATGCATTTCTATTTCCAAACTCATGTAGATGCCATAAATTCATATTTTCTAATATACATTTCAGCCCTTTCATTACACCTATACCTTTGTCTATGTGCATGTTTTTATCAGCTCCACTCCACAAGATCAAACCACATGCATTCAGATCTATCACATCCTTCCCCTTTTTCTTAGGTTTTTTCCTTTGATTTCGTTAATTAATTTAAACTGTTTACCCTTTACTTTTTATACATTCAGATCCCAATCTTCCATACACCATGATCATCACCTGATGGACCCATAGATACTGAGCTCTGCCACTCATCAGGCTTTGGTCAGTCAAAGTTCACATAATGCTTTTTAATAATCTAGAGGAAGCATAGGCTAGGTTACACTTTACTCATATCCATACTACATGTAGCATTCCTTACTAACAGTAAGGACAGTACAGACCAATTTGGGCACATTTTGACTTTATGCCAGAAGTGCAACCAAAGCCCACTTTTATGAAAAGCATATTCATGCAATTCTACGCAAGCTAAGATCTATAATCTAGAGCAGTGGTTCTCAACCTTTTTACCCTGGAGGAATCCTTGAAATAATGTTCAGGTCTCAAGAAATGCCTGAATAAAAATTGCAAAAAGTATGAAAACTTCACAATACAATTCACTTTTAACCCACACCATCCATGTTGTATGTTTACAGCAGCAGCAAAAGGGCAGGCCAGCAGCTGAATCACAGCACATAAAAATTACCACCACCATGAGCACTAGCACTGCACAATGCATGAAGTTAAAAATATATTCATTTTTTTTCAGTCACAATCTCTTGCAGAACCCTTCAGTTCAGGAGAACCTCAACTGAGAAAGTCTGGTCTAGAGACTACCTTGCAAGCCAAAATGCTTTTGTCCTTATCCCTCCAATTTGAAGGCATTTTTATGTATTGGCAGAGCTCAGGATGCAAACAAGTTATCTTTGTAGACAGCAATTACATTTAGTAATTGAATTTACTTTAAAATGTTTTTAAAACTTTTTTTTATGGGGGTGGTTCTTAGTTTTTAATTGTTTTGCTTTTAATAAAACAGAACAAAGGAAAAAAAGCCATTAGTGAAAGAAAAAAAGAAAAGGAAGGAAAAAAAGTTACACAATAAAAATGTGTATATTTAAGGGCTTCTCATACATTCTCAAAAGTATATAAAATTTACACAACAGTTTCAATAAGGGATAACTGTATTTCATACATAACTATCATCCATACACAGTCTACAGTATGTCTATAAGCAACTTGTTTGTAAGTTGCTAGTAACATGAGGACTTCAATCCACTGATCAAAACATTGGAAAGATAAATGGCTCCAATTACTCAGTACTTACAGTAACTAATTGTTGGCTTTTTTGATTTATAGGATTTAATGTGCACTCCTAATACATTAAGCAAGGACGTGTGCATCAGAACGGCCTTCTTTACCAGCAGTGGAGGACATACTGCATCATGTATATTAATTATTAATATACTGCTGTTTACAAGAATTGAAATATGGAGAGTGTTTCGAAGACACTATATCCTTAAACTTAACCAAAGCCAACAGACTTATTCACAATGACCATGGCCAGTTGTGCTTTGAAAATGGTCCTTTTCTTGTGTTCTTACCCTTCATTCCCTTACATTGACAAGACTACTTTGCCTACCAGTAGCCAAAACAGCACTCAGGTCCCACCCATTATATTTAGTTCTATCCAGCCAACACATACTGGTTAGTGGCTATTTCCTTTTGTTCATATTTAAAAAACAATAAATGCAGGGTGGCATGATCAAGGTTGGGCTCAGAGGATGCAGGGTGGGAGAAATTAATTTGTTTTTCAGCCTTTCTTTTTCAGCCCTTCTCTCTTCACTCCTAATAGGTGGGAAGGGATGTAAAATGACACTGGGGCAGCAGAAATGTTGCAGGAGTAATTCTTCTTTGTGGTTCCAGCATCCCATATCCTTTCCCTGAAGGAATAATCAGTGCTTTAATGGAACAGTTTGACCCGAGATTGTATTATACTGTAGAGAGAGCCAAGGCCATTGGATTTACATTGATTTGTACATAATAGTAAAGAATATAGTTTCCCCATTTGCACCTGAATATAGGACAGATGGGTCCCTGAGGCCTCTCTTTCTGCTATGTTCTCATGCCGTTACCTGGGATAGGGATTGGCAGTGAGGACAGCAAAATTTTATGGCATTATAGTTTTCTGCTGGCTCAAGGGTAGGTGAATAGCACTTAACTGTCTGAAGAGAAAGGCCCTTAGTGTACAGGTAGTCCTTGTTTAGCTACCACCACTGGTACTGGCAACTTGATCTTTAAGCAAAGTGGTCGTTAAATGAAATTGCAACTGTGCTTATGATCTTACTTCAGCTTTTCTTTGTTTTATCGACCTGCAAAGGTTGTAAATGCAATGTATGGTCACAAAGTTAGGGTTAGTTACTTTTTCTTCACCATTGTAACTGTGAACAGTTGCTAAACGAGGTAGTCGCTAAATGAGAACTACCTATACTTATGTATAACAAGTCATAGTGTACTTACTTTACCGTAGAAGAGTCAGTGCAGCAAGCAGTACTTATGATCTAATTTTCTGAAAGCCCGGTCTTTTAAACATTATGGAAGTGGCTCAGATTCAGTGCATTTTCTGATAAGACATATAACTAGAAAAACCGATAGGCATTAAGATTACTTGTGCAATTTTAATGCCAATTACATGAAGGCCCACTCGGTTTTTTACATCCAGGCAAGAGTTAAGTTATATATTTTTATATACAAGTGTCCCTGTTTTTCCCTCAAAGATGTAATCAACTGAAAGTGAGTGGCTGTTTTGCATTCTGTTCTGCAATTTCACACATATGTATTTGTAAAATAAGTTTTATTTTTAAAATGCTGTGAAAAGTATGGAAATATTTGAAATATCTTTATGATAGGACTCTCTGAATTCAGTAAACTCTTGAGTCTTTTAATCAGTAAGTATTTTAATCCACTTTGAAAAGTGTGATAGCTTTTATGTTTTTTATATCTTATAAGCAATACATAACAATGGTGCTTACATTTAAAAGTACAGATTAAATAAATGTTAAATTCTATTTAGGTATGTGTGTGTAAGTAGCAGATTAGAATGTCTGTTGGACTAAGTTTATTATATTTAATTTCTACAGAAATCAATTAGTTCCATTCCTGAGAAATTTCCTAAAAATATATGTTTGCAAAAGAAAGAAAAAAGCTTAAAACATAATCGGCAGTCACCCTATTTTGTTAAAAGGAACCTTTGTATTTTATAGAATATGGAAAGTTATCCACCCAGCAGCCCCCCAAATTAGGACAAGCTGAATGCTTACAGTATTTGTTTTGTTAGATATATAAGAATATATCCAATTTCTGTAACTTGCTGTACGTACATAGAGTCCTGGAAATTTTGGTCTGCCACAGCCAAAGCCAGAGCTGGTGATTCCTATTAAATAATATTTGTTGGCATCTGGGAAATAGCACACCAGAGGACCACCACTGTCTCCCTGGAACATGAAAAATAAAGATGACAAGTTAAGTGTTGCTTCATTGCTATTCTGAAGATTTAGCACAGGGTCCAATTAGTCTGAGTTGTACTTGTCATAATTTGTCAAATGAAAATATCGATCAATTAGAAATATAGATGAATTTGGATATCCTGAAGGGGAACTATTTGCTTTTGTTGGACCACAAGATTTAAAACTAAGGTACTTTAAATATAGGCATATTGATATCTTGATTGGGTCAGTTGCAGATTTATTTGTACAATATATGGTTTGCCTTTCTTTTAGGAGCTCAAGGCAGCCTACATAGCACTCTCCTATTTTTCCCACAACAACCTTCTGAGGTAGATTGGACAAGTACTGAGTAGAATAAAGTTGCCCAGTGAGCTTCCATGGCTGAGGGCAATCTGAAACCTGGGTCTCCCTAGAGTTAGTCCAACACCTTAGCGACTATGCTACACTGAAATTACACTACAAATTCAACACATTAGGGCTTATCTACCATCAAGCATTTTGTACACAAGTATTGAGAATCACTTTATTTCCAAGTGATCTAGTCTGAATAGAAGTTAAGTGATCTGAATCAGAAAAAAAAAAATCCTTATCTGCTTTTACATCCTATTGCTTTCCCACAAGGAAAACAAAATCTCTTATAGAAATTATTGAGAATCACTTTATTTCCAAGTGATCTAGTCTGAATAGAAGTTAAGTGATCTGAATCAGAAAAAAAAAAAATCCTTATCTGCTTTTACATCCTATTGCTTTCCCACAACTACTGCTAAGGTCTTTACTGAGGTAACCTTTGAAACAGTAATGATTAGTTTTTCTTTATATTCATGTTTATATGCATAAACCTCTATTAAAAATATATCCCTCAAATTTCTATAAGAGATTTTGTTTTCCTATAACATCGTTCTGCTTTCAGGATTTTTTTTTAATTCATTTAATTATGAGTGATTGGTGTTTTCTATTTTTGTAGTGTGCCTAGTGAATTTGAGAAAAAACAAGATATCCTTTGAATGTTACTATAAAAATCCAAATAACCATTTTATTACATGAACTGTCATCAACTATTTTTTCCTTCCCAAACTGGTTGCATTCATGTTATTTGGACATATTATTGTGTTTCTACTAATTAACAATTTTACTAAGCAACAACTATATAAGATAGTTTTATAATAATTTTATAATGGAATTATCACCATTTTACCTGGCAACTATCAACATGTCCACTTTCAGAACCAGCACAAATCATATTCAAGGATACTGTGCCTGCATACCAATCATAGCTATTACAGATTTGTAGTGGAATAATGTCAACCTGAGCTTCTTGTAGTATATGTTTACCTTTACCTGTAATGAAAGCACAAGATAAAGCTGAAAGTACATTTGTTCGTTTTTGTGTAATGTTCTGTACATGCAGTCCAGTAGGGAAAACTGATGCAATTTGGACTATGTCAAATTTCCTGCCCCATATACTTCATACTATCTACATTTGTTGACAATCTTTGCTAATGTTATATAACAAATCCATATGATCTGTTTGACTGCTATATTGTCAATCTATTCCTTTTTCATCTTTTCAGTACTGCAACTTTGAGTGAGAACATTAAGTTCAAATATCACTATGGAGAAATTTAAAATTCATGCCAGGGGTGCAATAAAGTATTGTTTTACAAAGCATTATACCATCATGCTGAGCCATAAAATTCACCTATTTTGAATAAATTATCTGGTTTAGATCACAATATTGCAGTTTGAAATCATAGCTTGTTTTCAATTTTCATTGATTTTTAGTGGTAATCGTATTTCCATCAGTCTACCGGCTAGGTAATGTCTAATAGCAAGGGATTAGCATTGCTAATGGCAGTATATCAACAGCATAGGATGCATGGTAAGCATGCCAGTAGCATGGCTAAGAGTAACATTGCGATGATGAAAAAATGCTGGGAGTCATAGTGCAACAACATTTGGAGGGCTTATAGTCTGGAAGGCCTTCAGATGTTGCTGTACTGATTCCCAGCGTCTCTCACCATTGCAGCATCATTTAGCGACATGTACAGGCCTACAGGTTTTGCACCCTCAAAATCTAGATTGCCCATTTGTTAAAGTAAAATACCATTTGAACCAATTATACGTATTCTGCCCCGTTCAGGCTTTGTCAGTAATGAACGCAAGAACGAGAAGGAAAATTACACTATTGTTACATTCAGACAAAATTAGACTTCTTATTTAGAATAACGTTACTTCTAAAATGTTTCTGGAAAGAATTATTTTTAAAAGTTCAATTTCCAGGAAAAAAAGAAAATTAAAAAAAAACCCAATATATTACTTTGTTTAGGGATATATATTTAAGATGTTTGATGAAAAGGTGAATGCAAAAGAAAATGTACTGTCATTATGACTGATAATTTTTTATTGAGTGCACTTACTAGCAGCCCTGGGTTTTCCCATTCATAACACGTGAATATCCTCAAAAGTACCCTCAAGAAAGCAGCTTTCCTATAGCCCAGTTCTTTATGCTTGCTTAGATTGCACTGATTTAATTTCATTTGTGAATAAGACTGCAGCCTAAAATCACTCAAATCTTGATCTTAATATTACTTTATAGTAATAATAAAAGATTTACCTTTCTCCTTTGTGCTTCCCCACCCGCTTATATAACATGGATTCTTATGTTTATTAATCTGGAAGTGAGCAGCGTCAGGTAAGCAGATGGGCTGGACATAGCCATTGTATTTGACAAGCTGAGTTAATCTGAACAAGGCAACATCATTTTCAAAAGTTCCAAATTCAAAATCAGAGTGGATTATAATATATTTGACATGGTATACAGTAGTATAAGGCAGATGTTTATAGAGATGATGCAAACCAACTACAGCCTTCCACATGTTTGGGTTCCTAGGAAAAAACAAAGTCCCACACAGAGTCAATAGATACTATAAAATTGTTACATTGGAGATACTGAGGTTAACAGCAAAGAGACTCAAAATAATGCAGTAATTTCACTTCAGTTCAAGAATTTTCAGATTGGAATTCTCTGATCTCAAAGCCAATCTTTGCTATAAGCAATTTTCTTATCTATGTCATTAAGTAAGATGAAGGCAGTTGTCTTGGAAATTCTGTTCAAAATCAAGAAAGAGATTCCTGTTAGAAACTGGAAACGTGCATACAATGTGGACTGATTCAAAGAACTACAGAAATAATTTTGCCTGCTAGTAAGAGTTTTGGGTTTGTTTTCCTTCCAGCTAAACAAAATGGTTGTGCATGCACCCATAAGTGGAAACAGCTGACAGTAGTTTCTGAAGCAGCTGCATGAGCCTTGCAAACAGTGGGACTCATGTACTGTAGATGCAAAAAGAGTACTTCATATATGTTCCTGTGTGTTGTAAAGCATGTCTTTTGAAGGCTTTGCACAGTTAGAAACAGCTATGTAAGACATATCAATAAATTATTTTTGGGACTTCCGGGGAAGAATTGGCGAACTGAAGACAGCTCCGCGAAAAGTGGAGCCAATGACTGCAGCAGAATGAAGAGCCAGCAAGTGGACCGGCTCTCTGTAATTCCTCTCTGGACAAGGAGAGGACTTGAGATCGCCCACAAGTGCTCCAGACAGTTGCTGCTTGTGAGGAGACCACAAGACAGCAGTCTCTGGTGGGTTTAGAGCTCTGCGAGACAAAGGAATAGCCATCTTGCTCAAACCATGGTTGGCACCTTTAAAAGAACACTAGTTTGTATACTTCCTTTTCTAATCACAATTGCTTTTAACTGCTTTTCATCTATTAGGAACTTTGGGTGGACAAGTCTGAAAATACCAGGTGAGCTTCCTTCAGTCCTTAGCAAAAAAAGTTTTAAATACAAGTTTAAGGACTTAAACAAAAAAAAATTTTTTTTGGAATAAACAGCAAAAGCGTGATTAAAACTTTGATTTTGGAAAGTTACAAACGGACTAAGGGTCCAGATGGATTTGAAATAAGATTTTGAAATTAATTATAAGAATCCT